TTCACACAAATAAAGCAATTTTGGTGAGGCAAGAAACCAGTCCCGTTTCCCTTGGTGCTAAAGCAGGCAGGTGAGGTGGGGGCTCCTAAGTTTCCTGTGGGCCAGAACACATCCTGAGAAGGTGCCCAGGGCAGAGGCCTGCTCACAAGCACCAACACAGCCTCCCTGGCAACACACACCCCACCTGCCACAGGCCTCCCAGTGGGCGGAGGGTCCCTGAGTCAGTGAGGAGCTCCTGGGAGGAAGGGGTGTGTCTCAGGAGGGACGTCAGCAGCAGGAAGCCACAGAGGGGATTCTCTGCTGGATACATGAAGGTCTCAGAACACGCCAGCCATACCCTGAGACAGGGTGATTAGTGGTGCTGGGTTAATAGGTTATCCATTTGGAAAAATGAGTAAATTTGGATCGAGCTCTCATCTTGCACGAAAGGAAATTCCAAGAATACCCATGAGACAACCCTTTAAGTTGAAAGGCATGAAAGAATTAGGAAGCCATATAGGAGACCCTTTTTGTAATCAGGGAGTGGGGAGGTTCGTCCTAAGCCACACAGAAAAGCAAGAGGCAGTAAGGGGAAAACAGCTTTCAGGGTGAACAGGAGGCCATGAGCAGAGCAAAGAGGGAAGTGACAGAGTGTGAGGTGATCTGTGCAGCATGAGTAGCAGCAGAGAAGGGACTGGCTGGTGCCCCGAGGACTGTGCTGCCCTGTGCTGCAGTGCCCATAGCATCCTAGACCAACCCGTGGCCCCTAGAAGGCAGGTGGCAGCCAGCGCTGCACACAGCTGCCAAAGTCTTAGCCAAAAGGTGCTGTGGTGGCCCAGCATAGAGAGTGACTTGATGAGGGCTGTGGGGGTCCTTGGTGACACTTCAGAGTGAGAGGATTGTGGCTGAAGCTGCACTGGGCGTGGCACTTAGGGCCAAGGTGGGGATGCAGGGTCTGGGACTGGATGTGTCAGTCGGGAAGCTGATGTCTGCAATCTCGCCTGCACTTATGAGTGGGGTAGGGTGTGGCGGTGGGACGAGGTAGGTGGCAGGATACGTTTCCAGGAGAGGTAGCAGACTGGGAGGCACTGGGAGTCGGTGCAGAAGCCAGTACCTACAGGCACAAAATGACAACACGATAATGAGATGACGAAGGGAAACCTGGGCCCCTTCTGGAGTTGGAAGGCAGTCTGTGGAGGCAGTTCCAGATTTTCCCAAGAGCCGGCTTCGCCTGGGGCGGCCCCATCAAGGCAGGGCCCCTCTCCACAGACCGTGACAAGTTCAAGCTTTGATGACCTTGTCTAGTGTTTGCTATGGGGAAACCAGGCAAGGATCTCTGTTGGTTGCAGCAGACAGGTAGGTAAGTTTTGTGCTTGGTGGCCCCGTGCTGTTTCACTCTTGAATTAAGCATGGGAGGGGGCACCATCATCTTTCCAGTACTGATAGCCTCTGAATGTTTTATTCAGGCTGTGACTGGCAGGCATGCCCCCGCCCCCGTCCCTCTGCATCCCTAGGCAGAATCCACGGGGAACTGGGCTCCTGTCCTGGCACAGCAACCAACCAAGGGATGAAGGGCTGACCAGAGGCCTGAGCCTCCCCCAACACAGGGAGTGTTTTCGGGAGGGCGGTGCCAGCAAACGGAGAGGGGGCTCTTGGCTTGGGCTGACACCACACCGTGGAGAAACTTCGATGCCGGCAGGCTTCCCTGTGACAGAGTTGCTCAGGAGATGTGGGCAGAACGTCTCCAGGGCCCTCCCTGCGATAAGAGTCAGCTATCTTGGCTTGATAGCTGCCGAGTGCCTGCCTGCCTCGCAGATGGTGGACCACTGCCTGTGGCAGGACTCAAACGGGGATTCCGCAGAGTGCAGAGGAGGAGGGAGGCGCATGTTAATTTGGGACCCTGAGCCAGGAGGAAGGAGAAAATGCTCTTTTCCCAGAGATTAAAGATGCTGAGCAATAAGGTGTTGCTGAAGATGGCAGTGGCCAAGCAGGCTCCACTGGGACAAGAGGATGTGGGGGCTGTGTGCAGAGCCAATCTGCACGGGAGACAGATTGCTCAGCCCACCTGAGGCTGGCTCGGGAGAAAGCGGAGCCGCATTGGCAGCTCTTAGAAAACAAGACAGGGCCCCAGAGCAAGCAAAGGAAGCCCCAGAGGGGTGAACCTTGCTGGGGGTGCCAAAGTCACATGCTGGCCAACCAAGGCACCAGGGCCTGGGAAGAGGCAGCAGTGTCCCTGTTCCAGCTTGGAGGATTCCCCAGTTATGGTTCTGGGACCTGGCAGGCACCCGTGACCACTAGTCAGCTCAAAGCGTGGGCTGGATGTGTTCAAGCAAGTGAGTGGCAACCCACCTGCACCCCAAACTCTGGGAGAAGGGAGGAAATATTGAAGTAAAACTAAGCTCTGTATGGAGGAGAGCAGGAGGCAGAGCGCTGGTAGAGCGCTGATGCCCAGAGAGGCCAGGAGAGGGCACCAGGCTCCGAAGCAGCACTGCCCAAGGGAAGCTTCTTGTCCACTGTGTTGGCCAGGGCTTTGAGGAAGAGGACCATTTCATGACACATCAAAAACATGCATGGACCTGGCTTTGGTGATGCAGGGGCTAAGGCTTGCTGGGAGGAGTCTGGAAATGTTGGGAGGGGTGGTGGAATGAGTTGCCCAGATTCCTGGAGTGGTTCAGTGTGCAGGGCTGGGTTCTGCTTTTCCTCCAAGGGGTGCCGGAAGCTTGGATGGAGGGGGTGGAGATGTCTCCGGATGGCTGGACCAGCCATGGCCTTGCCAAGCACCCTCAGCATCTGCCCCAACCCCGATCCCCTCGGGGAGTTCATGGAGGCCTCCACTGTCCCCTTCCTGGATCCCACTGAGGTACCAGGGATGGGGCAGAAAGGGGGTTCCTCAGAGGAAGCAAGGGCCAAGCCTTCTCACTCAGCCAGGATTCTGGGCTTGGCAACCCAAGGAAGGGAGGGGGCCTGGAAGTAAGTTTAACAGCTGCTTCTCAGTAGAGAGAGCACAGCACAAAGTAAGCACTCAGCAAGTGGCAACTGCTACTGTTATAACTGTGCATTAAATGTGCCGGGGTGGGCTGCCCAGTGGCCCCCAGGGACGTGTAGACAAACCCCAAGAATACTGACCTTTATCTCGAGGCCAGCAGTCAAGGAAAGACACCTTCATCGAGGGAGGGATTCTCTGCACCAGGCACTGTGCTGCCTGCCTCACAGGTGTTGTCTCTTTTAGTCCTCCCAACAGTCCATCTAATTCCACCCCCCGCACCCCTGCCCCCGTTCCCCTCGCTCCACCCCGCACCCCCAGCCCCTTCTGGAGGCTTATCTGGAGCCCTGCAGCCCATCTCTACCCCTGCCTCTTGTGGGCTCTGCTAAGCGTGCATTTGTCAGGGAGCAAACCCCCCAGTTAGTCAGCGTGGACCGTGTAGTTTTGTCTTTCTCTTCGTGCAGACTATAAATTCAAGGACAAGAACCATGTCTCGTTTTTGCCAATCAATCAAAGCACACAACTTTATTGATGATACATACAAATAAATGCAGGCTTGGCTGGAGGGAGTTAAGTCAGTACAGCACATAGAAGGGGAGTGTACTTTTTTGGATGAACAGGTTTATCATCCATCGGCTCGTGAGGAAGAGACAGTAAATGAAGAAGAATTCAACCTAAGCAGCAACCAATGCATTTTCGGCACAAGCTCCCATATGCATCTGGTCTCCACAAAACAGTCCAGCTTAGACAGGGAGACCACCACGGGCAAGGCATCCCTTGTGAGGCGAGAATATGTTGTTCTTTAACCGCAGCTGGCAGCTAAAATGATCCCTTGACCACAGGAAGAAGGCTGCAAGGGAGTAATTTACAATGCACATTGCCTGCAGACTGCAAAAACCAAGAGGGTACTCCAGGCTCTGTGGGAACCCCTGCCTGGCCAATCAGAGTGTGGTCCTTGATCTAGCAAGTGTAACTCTCACCCCGTGAGGTGGTGATTGGTTAAGGCCAGATCTTCAATAGCACCCAGTGCAGAGTCTTTGGGTGAGAACACAAGGGTGTGTTCACCAATCGGGTCTTGGTTTGGGGTGAATCCGTCCCATTCTGTTGGAGGGGGCCATTTAGGAGGCCAGAGTGTGTGGGAAAAGCTGTCTGTCTGCATTTCTGATAAGGAGGGACCAGAAGGACAGCAGCAGTGGGCCACTCAGCAACTCCCCTGCCAACACTGGCTTTTCAGACAAACCCGTCAATGGTTTCAAACCCTGCACCTCAGCATATCCACTTCCTTCTGATATCAAAGGAAACTTCAAGTCTGAAACGGACTTGGCAAGCATGTTATTAATAACTGTCATGCTTATTAACAAATTTAATCCGGCCTGCTGCAGAAATGAGTTGCAACAAAGTGACACAGTCTCCTGACACACTTCATTGATGTACATCTTAATCTGGCCCTGATTTTCACCACTCGCGTTCACGTTACCTGGGGCACAGAAAGCCTTCTCCCCCTCAACAGCAGGGTTGGGAGTAGGGATTGTGTTTCCAGCAATGGAGAGGCTGGCCAAATGACTATTGATATCGTGGCTAAATGAAAAACCAGCATCCCTGGGCTGAACTAACAACAGTTTCCCCTGAATGAAAGGGCTCTTGGAGAGGCCAAGAACACACGTGAAATTTTTATCTTAAGCATCACCAAAAGTCATCATTTTCATTAGAGAAAAGATGATTATTTTTCATTCAGACTGTTTCCTCTTTTGAGAGGCCCTATCTTCTTATTGTCCATGGCTCATGTCAGCCTCATCCCTAGGACTTGGCTTTTCTTGTATCTTGAGTACAGACCAGAGTCCTTACTTGTCTTTACCCATGTAAAATTCCTTACAATCCTGTTTCTTTCTTACTGTCGTTGCATCCTCCTCTGATTAGTGCTTGAACACTGTAGCAAGTTCTAACAATGACTTCCAGAACTCCTTTCACTAAATCACCAATTTGAACACATCCTATATCTGTGACAAGTCATGGGACATTCTCACTCTTTAAAAAGCCATCTAATTGTGGTGTTCTAAGTAGATTGTTGGATGTTCTTTTCCTGGACACATACTGCACTAACTGCCATCTAATACGGTACTAGGGGCAATGAGCTAGTACACAGAGCTTTAATACAAGTCTCCATAGATATCCATGTCAACACTCAGGATATAATGGTATCAGTATGTCTCTTTCCTGATTTAGGGTCTTAATTTTCAAATATTTCTCCTCTGGCATTTCCCTCCCTTAAGCTCATTCCCACTGTTTCTTCAGAAGTACAGTATTTTTTTTCCAGCACCCAAGTAAGAAGAGATGAGAACAAAGTCTCAGAGAGGGAACTGAGTTGCTTCTAGACCCTGCATTGTGACTTCAACATCCCTATCCCCACCCCTGTCTCCAGCTTATCACATTGTCTGGAGCAATTTCCTTCCTCCTTTGCCTAGATTTATGTCTACAGGCAGACACACAAGAGAGAATGGAGGCTGGTAGATACTGACACATAAGTGCCCTCTCTCCAGAGTGAGAAATCTGGCTATCAAATGTTTCCCATTTAGGTCTTCTGCACACCACCCACCTTGCCCTCTGGACCCTTTCATCACTCCATCCCTCCCCCACAGGTGTGCACCTTTCCCACTCCCTTGCCCCTCAGCCACTCTCTTGATTTAGCTTTCTCCCTTCACATGCCCACTTTTCTATTCTACCCTTCATTTCTGCTCCATAGACACTACTTCCCCAGAGCCAAAAAAGAATGGAATTAAGTAGCTTTTCTGAAGACAGGATAGTAGTGGAAGATTTGGTTTGGGTTTCCGTCTTGCCTCTACCGCCACCTTGTGACTGGTTCAGGTCCCACATCTCCTTGAAGGAAGGCTCACTTCAGTTTCTACTAAATATTCTGTAGGTGATGGACGTCCTCTTCCTTTCCTATGGGTTGTGCTGCCCTCTACAGACAGACCTGCAAACCAACAGATAAGGGTCAGTGAACATTTAGTGCTAGGTGACAGTTCCTATCTTTTACTGATTCAGGACTCTGTCAAACGATTCCCACCTCTCACTCCCGGATCCCACATCAGCTCTCCCCATGCACCATTTAGAGAATTAAAGTAAGCTGGTGGATAGCTGAAGGTGTAGGGAAAGATGACTCTGCCCCTTCAGATCTCTGCCTCCTAACCCCACAGTAACCTGAAGCCTCCCCAGTCAATGCTCACTTTCACACCAACCTGCACACGGTCAGAGCAGTTTCTTCCTTCTTAAGTTGGTTACAAACACATCTTCCTAAGATCAACAGAAAGCTGATGGCTGGGCCAAAAATACTATCTCTCCACAATTCTTGGTCACCTGAGTTACACTGTCACCAATGAGCCCTGGTCCCCAAGTTTCCCTCCCAGCAGCAGTGGTGCAAGAGTGTGCCAGCCTCTCTCCCTTCCCCCCAGCACAGCCGACCTGTCACTCATTTTTATCTTTGCCAATCCTAGAGACCAAAAGATAATGCATTTCCATTTTGTCAAAATTTGCCTTTCTCTAATTTCTAAGGAAAGAACCTATCTTCTCTGGGAGCAACTATTTTTATTTATATTTCTTCATCTTCTCCTAGAGTATAGGGCAATAGCCCATCTCTTCACTTCCCCTCCACTCAGCCGTTTATATCCATCACCTTTCTTGGACCCATGAGAAAGCAGATTTCATGAGATAAGGCATGGAGAGAGAGATAGTAAATATTTATTTAATGTCCCTGCTCATTTTCTTGGAAATATTGGCTTTTTTATAAAGATTTATACATGTTTTATATGTATAAGGAGTTTTCTGGAGTGATGTTTGCCAAAATGTCACCACTGGTTATTTCTGAGGCATATATTTAAGGCATAATCCATTCTAGATTCAGTGCCAACTGTTAAGGTCATTGGACATGGAGAGGAACAGATTTGTCTCTTGGGAAAGACCACCTGGTTTCTCAGACAGGCCCCCACAATGCAGCATTTACCTTGCTGAATTCACAAACTCTAGTGTCCAAATGTTAATTTTGTCTTCAGACTAAAAATATGCACTGATAACCTTATGCAGACATATGTTCACCAAAAGACAAGAATAAGAATGTTCATAGTAGCACTGTTCATATTAGCCCCAAACTGGAAACACCCCAAGTATCTATTAATAGCAAATGGATAAATAAAATACAGTATACTCATAAATGGGATTTATATTCATAAATGGTAATGAATATTGTATATGCAACAGTATGAATTCATCTCACAGACAATGTTAGCTAAGAAAAGATAGGAACGAATATAAACTGTGCGACTTTGTTTACATAAAGTTAAAAAACAGACACACAAAACTAATCCATGGTGTTAAAAGTCAGAATAGTGGTTACCCTTGGGATGCATTCTTGATGAGACGGGGACAAGGGGGAAGCTTCCAATGTGCTGCTCATGTTTTGTTCCTTGCTCACTTTGTGAAAATTTGTTGAGCTGAACACTTAAGATTTGTGCACTTTTATGTATATGTGGTATAGTTCTACAAAAATTTACCAGAAGTCCTCAGTAGTGAATTAGGGAAATGGAGATGAGTAAATAAAACCAATCCTCCTGCTGATCTGGAGAAGCTGGACAAGACATAACTTTTCATTTCTCTGAAGGCACTAGAGGGCTAACAAGATGGTGAAGAATACTTGGTTCAAAATAGGAGTAGGGGAAGTTGAGCTTAATGTTAGAACCGCTTTTCCCAATGGAGCATATACAGTTATGAGGGGACTGCTGAGAAGCTATGTAGAATTTTGGATAGCCTCTGGGAGCTAGGGAGACAGATATTGAAATCCAAACCTGGTAAACACCAAAATCTTTGGATTGTGATGCTGAAAGAACTGCATCTCAGTCAGAGTGAAGCAGACATGGACAGACTTTCACAACGACTTCAGTTTAACTGTGAGGAATCTCAATCACCGGAAATTGGATTAAGGTAATTCCAGAGTACTAATGCCCCTAGGTGCCTGGCAGAGACAAATACAAATTCTCTTTGAAGAGAAATAATATCAGCCTCAAATTATTTCTGAAATTTTATAAAATACAACATCTAGTACACAATAGAAAACAACTAAGTACAAAAGAAAACAAGACAAAATTAACAAAAGCCATCAGAAATGACAGACAATAGAAAAAGACTCACTGGGGCCTCAGAGTTATCAGACACAGATTTAAAATAAATACGCTTGCTATGCTTAAAGAGATAAAGGACAATATAGAGAATTTCTTCAGATAAATGGAAACTATAAAAAAATATAAAACAGAAATCCTAGAACTGAAAAATAGAATAATCTCAATTAAAAATTGAATGGAGGGATTTAACAGCAGAGTACATATAAATGAAGAGAAAACTATTGAAAAGGAAAGTAGGTTGGAAGAAAGTATCCAGAAAAAATTGCCAGTCAGAAAAAGATGAAACAATTAAGAGTGGATAAGAGACAGAGAATACAGAGAGAAGGTGTAACATATGTGTACCTGAAATTCAGGGAGAGTGAAGAGAATGAATGAGGCAGAAGTGATATCTGAAAAAATAACATGACAAGTTTCTGAAACTCTTCAAAACATTAAGCTACATATTCAAGAAGCCCTTCAAATCTCAAGCAGGATAAAATATAGGGTTAGAAGATGTGGGTGTGTGTGTGTGTGTGTGTATATATAATAAAATGGCTATTTTAGTCAATAAAAAAGAATGAAATTCTGCCATTTGCAGTAACATGGATGGACCTAGAGAATATAATGTTTAGTGAAATAAGTCAGAGAAGGACAAATACTGTATGACATCTCTTAAATGTGAAACCTAAAAAAATTATGTAAATACATGTATATGCAAAGCAGAAACAGGCTCACAGATATAGAAAATAAACTAGTGGTTATTAAAGGAGAGAAGGAACAACAACAAGGATATATAGTACAGCACAAGGAATTACAGCCATTATCTTGTAATAACTTTTAATAGAGTATCATTGGTAAAAATACTGAATAACTATGCTGTACACCTTAAACTAATATAATATTGTAAATCAACTATACTTCAGTTTTTAAAATTTTTTAAAGAAAATCACAGCTGTACACATTATAGTAAAGCTGTTGAAAATATCTTAAAATCAGCCATAAAACAAAAACCCCAGATTTCCTTCAAAGGAGTAAAAATTAAACCGATAGCCAACTTCTTAACAGGAGAAAATGGAAGCCAGACAATGGAAGAATATCTTTAAAGGGCTGAAAGAAAATTACTGCCAACTTAGATTTATATGCCATAGACAATATTTTTCACCTATATATGTGAAGTAAAGGCATTCTCAGACCAAAATTAAAAAAAAAATCACTGGCAAATTCACGCTAGAAGAAATACTGAAAATTGTTCTTCAGGCAGAATGAAAACTTATCTTCTTAAATCAGGAAGAAAAGAAGCACAAGGGAAAGAGTAAATATGTGAGTATATCTAAACAATTATTGACTATATAAAACAATGATAAGAATGTCTTGAAATATTGAAATATATGGAGGGTTAGATTGAAAACATACAGAAAATTGGAATACATGACAACAATGGCTTGTAAATTAAGGTAAGGCTAAGTGGAGTTAGCATTTTAAGTTCTGTGAGTCATCTGGGAAGAAGGTAAAAGAACCAATTCAGAGAGAGGGTACGGCTCAGTGGTAGAGCAAATGCTCAGCATGCACGAGGCCTTGGTTCAATCCCCAGTACCTACATTAAAAATAAATAAATAAACAAATAGACTATACTTCAATAAAAATAATAAAAGAACCAATTCATAATTGACTTAGAAAATCAAGAATGTATGTTGTAACAATAGTACATTAGTATAACTTTCAGGCTAATAGAGGAAAAAAGAACAGTTTAAACATTCAATAAATCCAAAAGAAGAGAGAAAAGAAATTGGAACATAGAGTAGACAAGTCAAATAGAAAGTACTGAATAAGATAAGAGATTAAACTTCAAATGTATCAGAAATTACATTAAATGAAACAGATTAAATGTTTCACTTCAAACATAAATATTGCAAGATTGTGCGCCCAGATTGAATAAAAGTAACAAAACCTAGCTAAAGAGGCATCTAAAACTTGAACCTACAGAAAGTTTGAAAGTGTAAAAATGGAACACATACATCTTAAAAACACTAGCCAAAACAAAGAGCATTACTAGAGATAAAGAGGGATACTCTATGAGGAAAAACTATAATTCACGAGAAAGATGTAACAATTCCAAATTTCTACACGTCTAACAACAGAGCTTCAAAATACGTAGAGCAAAAATGAGCAGATCTATAAGAAATAACAGAGGTGCCTAATCATAGTGGGAGATTTAAGAATGTCTTTATTTTGACAGAATAAGCAGATAAAAATAGCAGAGATGTAGAAGATTTGAACTTGATTAGCAAACATGACTCAATTAGTTCAATCCATGATTGGTATAACACTACACTCAACAACCACAAAAGATACATTCAAAAAACATATGGGATCATATGCAAGGGATATGTCATTTTATTGCACTTCACCTTATTGTACTTCGCAGATACTGCATTTTTCACAAATTGAAGGTTTGTGACAACCCTGCTTCAAGAAAGTCTATTGGTGCCATTTTTCCAACAGCATTTGCTCACTTCATGTCTCTGTGTCACAGTTTGGTAATTCTCACAACATTTCAAAGTTTTTCATTATTATTATATTTGTTACAGTGATCTGAAGTCAGTGATCTTTGATGTTACTTTTGCAAAAAGATTATGACTCACTGAAGGCTCCAATGATGGTTAGCATTTTTTTAGCAATAAAGCATTTCAAATTAAGGTATGTACATTATTCTTTAAATATAATTCCATTGCATACTTAAATAGACTACAATATAGTGTAAACATAACTTTTATATGCACCAGGAAACCACAAAATTCATGTGACTCACTTTATTGTGATATTT